AGCAATGTCCAGTCTCGATAAAATAGTGAAAGAGTAGAGACATCAGACTGGCAACAAAGATCCGCCTAGTCAAAGCCATGGTATTCCCTGTAGTAACCTACGGATGTGAGAGCTGGACCTTAGGGAAGGCTGAGCGAAGGAAGATAGATGCTTTTGAGCTGTGGTGTTGGAGGAAAGTTCTGAGAGTGCCTTGGACTGCGAGAAGATCCAACCAGTCCATCCTCCAGGAAATAAAGCCCGACTGCTCACTGGAGGGAAAGATACTAGAGACAAAGTTGAAGTACTTTGGCCACATCATGAGGAGACAGGAAAGCCTAGAGAAAACAATTATGCTGGGGAAAGTGGAAGGCAAAAGGAAGAGGGGCCGACCAAGGGCAAGATGGATGGATGGCATCCTTGAAGTGACTGGACTGACCTTGAGGGAGCTGGGGGTGGTAACGGCCGACAGGGAGCTCTGGCGTGGGCTGGTCCATGAGGTCACGAAGAGTCGGAGACGACTGAACGAATGAACAACAACAACATTGGGTTGTTAGGTGTCTTGTGTCCAAATTTGGTGTCAATTTCCCCAGTGGTTTTTGAGTTCTGTTAATCCCACAAACAAACATTACATTTTTATTTATATAGATATACTAGCCATCCCCTGCCACATGTTTTTTTAAATAATTAAAAAAAGAAGATATACTAGCGGTCCCCTGCCACGTGTTGCTGTGGCCCAGTGTGTATATGTATTTTGTGTGTATATATATGCGTATATGAGTGTATATATTTGTGTGCTTATGTATATATGTGGTTTTGCGCATGCGTTGTAATGTGTTTTTTTTAATATATATATTTTGGCTTTTTAAGTCTCTTCCGCTGTGTTATGAGTGATGGTCACTTGTTGGCCTGAGAGGTGTCTTGTGTTCAAATTTGGTGCCCGTTCATCCAGTGGTTTTTGAGTTATGTTAATCCCACAAACTAACATTTCATTTTTATTTATATAAGTACCAGCCATCCCCTGCCATGCGTTGCTGTGGCCCAGTCTGTTGATCTGGAAAATAAAATGATGGGAAAGTGTTGGTTTCTAATATATGTAATGTCTTTCTGCTTGTGGGTAAACAGTATTTCTTGCTGTTTCTTTGTCAATGTTGATGTGGAGATTGTTTGGTTTGCCTACTCTACAACATATCATTGTCCTTCTTTAGCGGTCCCTTTCAAATCTGTGATACTATATCTCTCTGTCTGTGAATCATATCTATCTATATATCTATATATCTATCTATATTTATGACTGGATGGCTCTTTGTCAGGAGTGCTTTGATTACATTTTCTTGCCCTGGTGAAGGGAGTTGGACTGGGATGGCCTTAAGTATTTTCTGTTGGTCATGGGGGTTCTGTGTGGGAAGTTTGCCCCAATTCTCTCGTTGGTGGGGTTCAGAATCCTCTTTGACTATAGATGAACTATAAATCCCAGCAACTACAACTCCCAAGTGTCAAGATTTTATTTTCCCCAAACTCTACCAGTGTTCACATTTGGGCATATTGAGTATTCATGTAGAGTTTGGTCCAGATCCATCATTGTTTGAGTCCACAGTGATCTCTAGATGTAGGTGAACTACAACTCCAAAACCAAAGGACACTGCCCACCAAACCCTTCCAGTATTTTCTGTTGGTCATGGGAGTTCAGTGTCCCAAGATTGGTTCAATTCCATCATTGGTGGAGTTCAGAATGCTCTTTGATTGTGGGTGAACTCTAAATCCCAGCAACTACAACTCCCAAATGACAAAATCAATTTTTTTTGAGCGAAGGACGTACATTGGATTATTAGGTGTCTTGTGTCCAAATTTGGTGTCAATTCGTCCAGTGGTTTTTGAGTTCTGTTAATCCCACAAACGGACATTACGTTTTTATTTATATAGACGCTTTGTAGAGCGCTGTCTTGAATCGGCAGTCCTTCCTAAAGCGAACAGGGAAAGTGAATCATGCAAGAGGGTGCCTGTAGAAAAGTGCCTTTCCTCCCCTATTATTTCATCATTTTCTCCCAATCTGTCGATAGACGATAACTTAGTGGCGGAGCGAGTATCTCGGATGAAAACAACCCTCAGCTATTATTAGAACCCATGCCTGCCCAGTACGCTGTGGCTCGTATACATTGATACGGTGACACTAATGAGGTTCTTTCTCTGCTCCCTCTCATGCTCCACCACTCAGTTAATTTCCACTTGCTCCTTTTTGGCTTGCGTTCTCAATTTACCCTAAATAACTCCCTTGCAATCCGCCTGCCCGATTCCTCGGAGAGTTCGTTCGCCGCCCTTCCTGGATTTCTGGGCCTTGAGTTTGGAAGGAGTCGCTCTCCAAAGTGCTGCGTGCTGCCATCCTCAGGGCTTCGTCGGAAGTCTTCTCGGGATTTCTGCTTCTATTAAAACACAGTTTTGCTTTTGGAACTTCACCAGTTGGGTTGTTGTGGGTTTTTCAGGGCTATAGGGCCATGTTCTGGAGGCAATTTTTCTCCTGACGTTTCGCCTGCATCTATGGCAAGCATCCTCAGAGGTAGTGAGGTCTTTGTTTAGGCTCGATTTGGAAACGCAACCTTTGGAGTCACGATCCCTCCCAACGTTCGTATCTTGAAGACCACAGTATTCGGCTACTTCGTTGGAAAGTGTCCTTCTCAGCTGTGAGTTGGATGGGTACTTGAAAACTACACATCCGTATTGTCGAAGGCTTTCATGGCCGGAATCACTGAGGTATTGTACGTTTTTTCGGGCTATATGGCCATGTTATAGAGCAGTGTTTGTCAACCTCCCTTAATGCAGTTCCTCATGTTGTGGTGACCCCCAACCATAACATTATTTCTGTTGCTACTCATAACTATAATTTTGCTTCTGTTATGAATCGTAATGTAAATATCTGATACTCAGGATGTATTTTTATTCACTGGACCAAATTTGACACCCGATATGCCCAAATTTGATTACTGATGGGGTTGGGCGGGATTTATAGTTCACCTACAATAAAAGAGCATTCTGAACTCCACCAACGATGGAATTAAACCACCTTGGCACACAGAACTCCCTTGAACAATAGAAAATACTTTACGTGCGTAAAGCACCTCGCGCGTAAAGTACCTCTGAGGGACAGTGAACTGGCCCCCGGTTTAAAAAGTTTGAGGACCCCTGCTATTGATGATGATGATGATTATTATTATTATTATTACCACCAGCTGTTAGGAATTGTGGGATTTGAAGTCCAAAACACCTGGAGGGAGGGCCAAAGTTTGCCCATGTCTGATGTAGAGGATCAGTTGTAGTATCCAAAGCTTGCAAGTTCAATGAGAAAGATTGAAGAGCATCCTTTTCCTTTCTCTTCCACTGGCCACCGCGTTGCAAGCCACGGCCACTTGCTATTGGCTCTATCGGCGGTTCTTCTAGCTTCGGAGAAGGGAGGGCTTTGCTCTCGTTAACGGTGCAAAGCTAATAGAGCTGCGAAAGCGTGACTTGAAACCTCTCCTGCCTAATGCATTATCAGAAGTGCCAATTGAATTCTATTTCCGGAAAATGTTATTGTGGAAGGCGATGATGTAAAAGGAACTATCGTGTTTCGCTTCCGTTGCCTACCAATGGCTTTTTCTCCGAGTCGCCGTGAGAGAATATTTTCATGTATAAGTTGCTAATACAGGAGAGTCTCACTTATCCGACACAAACGGGAGGGCAGAACGGAAAATGTCGGATAATGCAGAGTCTCCGACTGTTACCCGTCCAACGCGATGCCAGACACCTAGAATACTTACAACAGGGACTCAAAGAGTTCAGGCAAGGCAATGCCCCGGGGCCAGAGAGGCCTAGACCGAAGAGGAAATCACAGAGGAAAGGAGGGAGGACACTTCCGCTTCCGGTCCTGACTCTTTTCCCCCTTTCCTCCCTCCTCTTCCGCCTTGTCTTGTCTTTTTCACTTATTGGGAATGGAGAGAGAGTTGGGGAGTGCTCTTTTAACTGAAGGGGAAATGCTGGAGGAAAAAGGGAGCGTTGGATAAGACGGAATGTCGGATAATCAAAGGTTGGATAAGCGAGACGGTACTGTATAGTCATAAGCCAGGAGTCTTCAAACTAAGGCACGGGGGCCGAATGCGGCCCTCTAAGGTCATTTACCCGGCCCTTGCTTAGAGTCAACCTAAGTCTGTAATGACTTGAAAGCACACAACAACAACAACAACAACAACAATCCTATCTCATCAGCCCAAAGCAGACCCACACTTCCCATTGAAATACTAATACATTTATATTTGTTAAAATTCTTCTTCATTTTAATTATTGTATTGTTTTAAGCGGTTTTTGCACTACAAATAAGATATGTGCCGTGTGCATAGGAATTCATTTTTTTTTTCAAATTATAATCCGGCACTCCCAACAGTTTGTCAAGATCTCTCTTCAATTGGTGCCCAGAATTGGACACAAAAATGAGATGCGTTCCCTTCTAAAAGCATGGGAAAAATGCACAATTTAAGCAATGCTTCAAATCAAGAAACAGTTTCTCAAGATCTACAGATATACTCGTAGGAACATCTCAGCAAGCAAGAATCCAAAAGTGGCAGGCTAAAACCTGGAACCTCGATCAGTGGCTGAGACCGGACGAGAAACTCCCTCCTGAGTACAACAAAGGGTGGATGACCCACAAGGCACTGAACAGGCTGTGCTTTGGCACTATAAGATGCAGAGCTAACCTTACAAAATGTGGATACAAAGTGCGAGTCCACAACATGAGAATATGGAGAAGAGCAAACCACAGACCACTGACTACAATGTGCTCTGAGCCCTGCCCACATGCACAATGGAGGACCTTCTTATGGCAACACCAGAGGCACTCCAAGTGGCCAGCTACTGGTCAAAGGACATTTAGTTAATGCCAAGTTTTTAAACTTTGTGTTTTCTCAAATACATCACAACTGTACTCTGGATTTGCTCCCGATACAATAAGTAAATGCGGAGTGCGGTGCCACCTCTATGCAGATGACACCTAACTCCACTACTCTTTTCCACCAGACTCCAAGGAAGCCCCGAGGATACTGGACCAGTGCCTGGCTGCTGTGATGGGCTGGATGAGGACGAACAAGCTGAGGATCAATCCTGACAAGACAGAGGTCCTCCAGGTCAGTCGCTCGGCTCACCGGGGTATAGGGTGGCAACCTGTGCTGGACGGGGTTGCACTCCCCCTGAAGTCACAGGTCCGCAGTTTGGGGGTCCTCCTGGACTCGGCACTGACGCTTGATGCGCAGGTGTCAGCGGTGGCCAGGAGGGCCTACGCACAACTAAACCTCGACCTTACCTCATGAAGTCTGACTTGACCATGTTGGTCAAGTTACCTCTAGACTGGACTACTGTAATGCACTCTACATGGGGCTACCCTTGAAGACGGCCCGAAAACTACAACTTATCCAACGCTCATCAGCCAGATTAATAACTGGGGCTAGTTATAGGGAGCGTTCGACTCCCATGCTTAAGGAGCTCCACTGGCTGCCATTTATTTCCCAGTCCCAATTCACTTACTTTACTTTACTTAGGCGATCCCTCGCTTTCCGAGGATGATTGTCTTCCAGTATTCTTGTGGGTCCGTATGTGGCTGTGGAGCCCTATTCTTGCTCTGCATCTTCTTCCGCAGTGAGGGCATTGGTTTCCAGGTGGAAGGCGGTCTCGGTCGGGGTTGGCTTGACACGCCTTCCTCTTGGCACGCTTCTCCCTTTCGCCCTCCATTCGTGCCTCTTCAAATTCTGCAGCACCGCTGGTCACAGCTGACCTCCAGCTGGAGCGCTCAAGGGCCAGGCCTTCCCAGTTCTCGGTGTCTATGGCAGAGTTTTTAAGGTTGGCTTTGAGCCCATCTTTCAATCTCTTTTCCTGTCCACCAACATTCTGTTTTCCGTTCTTGAGTTCGGAGTAGAGCAACTGCTTTGTGAGACGGTGGTCGGGCATCCGGACAATGTGGCCGGTCCAGCGGAGTTGATGGTGGAGGACCATGGCTTCAATGCTGGTAGTCTTTGCTTCTTCCAGCACGCTGACGTTTGTCCGCCTGTCTTCCCAAGAGATTTGCAGGATTTTCCGGAGGCAGCACTGATGGAATCGTTCCAGGAGTTGCATGTGACGTCTGTAGACAGTCCACGTCTCACTGGCATATAGCAGGGTTGGGAGGACAATAGCTCTATAAACAAGCCCCTTGGTTTCCCTACGGATGTCCCGGTCCTCAAACACACTCTGCTTCATTCGGAAAAATGCTGCGCTCGCAGAGCTCAGGCGATGTTGTATTTCGGTGTCGATGTTGACTTTGGTGGAGAGGGGGCTGCCATGGTAGCGGAAATGATCAACATTTTCTAATATTACACCATTAAGCTGTATCACTGGCATTGGAGAGGGATTGGCTGGTGACTGCTGGAACAGCACCTTGGTTTTTTCAATGTTCAATGACAGGCCGAGGTTTTCGTATGCTTCTGCAAAAGTGTTTAGAGTGGCTTGTAGGTCTTCTTCTGAATGTTGTCATCAGCATACTGGAGTTCTATAACAGATGTTGTTGTAACCTTGGTTTTGGCTTTCAGTCTGCTGAGGTTGAATAGCTTGCCATCTGTCCGATAGAGGATTTCCACTCCGGTGTGAAGCTTCCCATCAACAATTCAATCCCATCAATCCCAGTCCCAATTCAAGGTACACGTCATCACATACTAAGTCCTAAACGGTTTAGGACCCACATACCTTTGTGACTGCATCTCTCTCCATGAACCAACCCGGGCCCTTCAATCTTCGGGGGAGGCCCTCCTTTCGCCCCTTTCAATCTCACAGGCTCGTCTTGTGGGCACAAGGGAGAGAGCCTTCTCCTCTGTGGCTCCCCGACTTTGGAACTCATTACCTGGAGAGATCAGGAAAGCCCGTACCCTAGAAACGTTCAAAAGGGACCTTAAAACCTGGCTCTTCCATTGCGCCCTTTGGTGAGTAGGTGCACATCATGACATTTTGCACCCCTCAACGTTTTTTCCTACTGGAGCTTGCACCCCTTAAATTGGAAGTTTAGTCTCACAACTCTATGTGCTTTATGAGTTCCCCGTTAATGTCCTGCTCCCAGGGGCGGCTCAACCCATTAAGCAAAGTAAGCATTTGCAGTATAGTTGATTTTGCCCAGGGGCGCTCTGGGGAAAATCTTGACCAGGGGCGCTATTGGGGAAAAATAGACCTAGACATATGCGAGTTGTAGTTTCTGGGATGTATAGTTCACCTAAAATCAAAGAGCATTCTGAACTCCACCAATGATGGAATTGAACCTAATAATAATAATAATAATAATAATCATAATAATAATAATAATACTTTATTTGTACCCTGCTACCATCTCCCCAGGGGACTCGGTGCGGCTTACATGAGGCCGAGCCCGAATACAACAATACAAGCAAAACAACAATAGTACAAGCAATTAAAATAAAACATAGATAATAAAATATACAACATTATCAATAAGACAACACGCAATTAAAAACAGTGGGAAGGCCAAATGTAAAGTTAAAATGGAAATAATGCTGGGACATGGACGAATGGTGATAGTGGCATTTATGGAAGGGCATACGAGCAGATCTAAAAAGTGTAAAGTGCTTTGGAGGACACAGTGCTATGGGATCTTTATTCTGGGAAGGCACACTTGAACAATTACGTCTTCAAGCTCCTCCTAAAGACTGCCAAGGTTGGGGCCTGTCTGATGTCTTTAGGGAGTGAGTTGCAGAGTCGAGGGGCCACCACCGAAAAGGCCCTCTCTCTCGTCCCTACCAACCTCACCTGCGATGCTGGTGGGATCGAGAGCAAGGCCTCCCCGGATGATCGAAGAGATCGTGTGAGTTCGTACACAGAAATGCGGTCACGCAGGTAGGCGGGTCCCAAACCGTTTAGGGCTTTGTAGGTAAGAACCTGCACCTTGAATTGGGTCCGGTAAATGAATGGCAGCCAGTGGAGCTCCTTGAACAGGAGGGTTGACCTCTCCCTGTAAGGAGCCCCAGTTAGCAACCTGGCCCCCACCCGTTGGATCATCTGAAATTTCCGGGCCATTTTCAAGGGCAGCCCCACGTAGAGTGCATTGCAGTAATCCAGTCTAGAGGTGACTAAGGCGTGGACCACCTTGGCCAGATCCCCCTTCCCGAGGTACGGTCGCAGTTGGCACACGAGTCTTAATTGTGCCAAGGCCCTCCTGGCCACCACCGACGCCTGAGCCTCAAACGTCAACTCTGAGTCCAGGAGGACCCCCAAACTGCAGACTTGCGACTTCAGGGTGAGTGCAACCCTGTCCAGCACAGGTTGCCACCCAATACCCTGGTCAGACTTGCAACTGACTTGGAGGACCTCTGTCTTGTCAGGTGGGAAGTTTAGCCTCACAACTCTAAGTGATTTATGAGTTCCCCATTAATGTCCTGCTCCTATTTTATTTCATTACAGTCTTTTAATTGTTTTATCCTGTATATGTGGCCCGCCCATTATTATCGTTATTGTGATTGTGCTTATTAGAATGTTATTTAATGACTGCTTTTTCTTCTTTTTTCTCTTATGTAATTTTGGATGTTGTTGTTATTTGTCGTTTATGCTGATTTTATTGCTGTAGTATGTTGTCCGGGCTTGGCCCCATGTAAGCCGCTCCGAGTCCCCACTGGGGAGATGGTAACGGGGTATAAATAAATATTATTATTATTATTATTATTATTATTATTATTATTATTAAATAAATAAATAAATAGAAGGGAATTTGGCAGGATCTTGGACTTGGATGCAGGTAGACAGTGGGTACAAATGCCTGTCCTTCTGCTTAGGTTTTGAAAGTGTCAACAGAAGACATCCTTGTTTCCTTCACTTCTGTGGATCTGAAAGTGTGGAAGCCACGGCTACTTTGCAACAGGAACATCTGGAAATATGGATGGTGTGATTTGCATGGGGTTGGGAGATACGTTTGGAGGCAATTCAATTTTTGACGTTTGATTAACTTTTAATTAGGAGATAAAATAAGCGTGTTGCTTGGCTAGTCGCAACCATCACCTTCCCGAGGAAGCGGCTGCTCTTGCCATTTTTTGCTGCCGAGATCAGATTCAATGGTAATCTTTACAAAGCAGGGCTTGTCCCCCTGCTTTTCCCCCTTGCTGTGCAGCTATATATAAATAGGTAAAAATGGCAATCCCCCCCCCCCCCCAATGGTCATTTGTTCAGGACCATTACAGCATGTCTGCGAGGGGAGAGTTGTTGTAAGAAGCAACTGCAACTGCATCCAAGTAGTTAGCAGGCAAAGCTAGGCCCACAGATTGGAAATTTGATAAAGGTAAAGGTTTCCTCTGACGTTAAGTCTAGCCGAGTCCAACTCTGCGGGGTGGTGCTCATCTCCATTTCTAAGCCAAAGAGCCAGCATTGCCCATAGACGCCTCCAAGGTCACATGGCTGGCATGACAGCACAGAGGCTGAAGTGATTGACAATGGCAGCCGCATGCTGTTTTTTTTCCTTGTCAGCCAATCACAAGGTTTTCTGCAAAGGTGGTCTCCTCCCCTCATCCTCTGTGTTTCTTTGAGGAGTTAGTAGGTTAGTAGTAGTAGTATGTGTATATGTGTGCGTGTGCACAGAGGCTGAAGTGATTGACAATGGCAGCCGCATGCTGTTTTTTTTCCTTGTCAGCCAATCACAAGGTTTTCTGCAAAGGTGGTCTCCTCCCCTCTTCCTCTGTGTTTCTTTGAGGAGTTAGTAGGTTAGTAGTAGTAGTATGTGTATATGTGTGCGTGTGTGCACAGAGGCTGAAGTGATTGACAATGGCAGCCGCATGCAGTTTTTTTTCCTTGTCAGCCAATCACATGGTTTTTTGGAAAGGTGGTCTCCTCCCTTCAGCCTCTGTGTTTCTTTGAGGAGTTAGTAGGTTAGTACTAGTATTGTGTGTATATATATCTGTGTGTGTGCAGAGAGGCTGAAGTGATTGACAATGGCAGCCGCATGCTGTTTTTTTTCCCTTGTCAGCCAATCACATTGTTTTCCGCAAAGGTGGTCTCCTCCCCTCAGCTTCCGTGTTTCTTTGAGGAGTTAGTAGGTTAGTAGTAGTAGTATGTGTATATGTGTGTGTGTGCACAGAGGTTGAAGTGATTGACAATGGCAGCCGCATGC